ATGGGGCTGTATTGCAGCTTACAACGTACCTCCGGTTTTTCTTCGGCTGCAAAGAAATCGGCCTCAGCTTTTATCAGAGTTGGAAATTTGTTACCTAATTCAGTTATATTCCGTACGACGATTGGATGACGCGTTATCACTTCAATGCTGGGACGCTGCTCACTATCCACCGACAACATGTAGGCAATAATCTCCTGCAGGTCCCCGGAGTACACATCCGGTATGTGACTAAACTTTCCATTCGAAATATTCAAAGTGAGCTCATCAAACTTCGGTGCCTGAAAGGGCGTGCGGAGAGCGCACATTTCGTATGCCAGGCAACCCACCGCCCACACATCCGATTTGCGATCGTATTTCGATCCCTTGACGATTTCTGGGCTCATGTAGTAGGGTGTGCCGACAAAAGTAGCTGCGAAATCTTGATTTTTACGTAGCATACGCGCCAAGCCGAAATCTCCTAGCTTAGCGTTTCCTTGCGCGTCAAGGAATATGTTTGCAGGTTTTATATCCCGATGCAAAATAGTGCCTTTCCTTATTTTATTGTGGCATACCTGCAGCGCTTTGCAGACCTGAAATAGCACGCGCCAGATATAACGCTCTTCGAAGCGCTTACGATCCGTGCGCGCATGTTTAATTAGCTGCGCCAAATCTCCACCCTCGCAGCATTCCATTACAATGAATATGGACTTGGCTTCATGATTGACCAAATGATGATAATATTGCACAATATTGGGATGTTGTAGTTGACGCAGCACCCGTATCTCCGACACCAACGACGCCTTCTTAGATTCACTCAATTCGTCGTAGTCGATGCCCTTCCAGGCATACAGCTCACCGGTTTGTTTGTCGCGCACTTTGAAGCACGTTCCAAATGTGCCGTTGCCAATGACCGATATAACTTCATAGTCTTGCAATGTTTTATTGGCGAATTTAAAACTGGAATCTCCGTCCGTTACTGAATTGTCACTCGCGCTACTTGTGCCACTACTTGTTGTTGCAGACATATTGTTACTTATACATATGTATTGCCGGCCTTTGAGAGGCGCTAAAATTTTGTTTATTTTTTTAATCAAAGTTTTTAGAGCTACGCTGTGCGCCCAAGATGCTTTCGAATGTGAAACTCATTGAAGACTGCAGGCATCGAGCAAAAATCAATGCTCTTAAACCTGTGCACTTGCGCGCGATGCTCAAAATCGAAAATGTATGTTGGTAAACAGGTTTAGGAATTTCTGCTTCAATGCTCTCTCAAACAAATAGATATTTTGCTGACTGAGCGCAGTCATCTTACGGCGATCCTTTTACACTAGCGACCACTTCCCGGAAGGTTTGTATTGCCTGTGTGATGGCCTACCTATTTTTGTGTGGGTGTACTTTTGTGCGCTCAGCGAGCAGGTAAACATATTTTCAAAGCATATATCTACATATACATATATGTATGTATATAGCGTTAATACTATTCATTTAATCTCTTGCGGTTCAATTTGTACATTTTCATTTTTTGATACAAAAAATGCATGTAAAAATGTATGTATGCACGTATGCACTTATATGTGTACAAAACATGAACCGTTGGATGTAATCTTTTAACACTTAGGCACAGCACGCCTGCAATTTCAATTGACATTGTTTGGGATGCCAATAAATTGTTTTGCTGGCATTGGTATATCAATTTTCCTCATTTCTTGTTTGCTTGTTTTTCAGTACCTTCGTGCTCTTTAATAATTAGTGTTTACATATATTCTAGTTTAGTTTCAGCGTTTTGCGGGTAATCGTGACGCACATATGTATAACAGGCATGAAGACTTGTACACATGCATGTACATAGGTATGTATACACATCGGTATTTAGGTACAGGTATCGGTAGAGACATAGTTAGATTACCCCAGCCAATTAATCTGAATGTCAAATCTATTCCGTATTCCGCTACCAAAGAAATATGTATTTTCTTCCATTTTCACCGCAGCACCATCATTCAATCCTAGGAACCCTTCTCCCAAGCGAACAGGGCCATAGATCTTACGGCAGAATGGTTTCATCTAAAGCCCAAAAGCCTTCCAATCCTTGTTGGAAATCGTCCACTCGCTAACATTTGCAAATACTTCACGCCCCCGCATTTTTAGCGAAGATGCACTTTAATATGTTTTTAAGATCATATTACTTTTATACCTTGAAGCAGATCTAGAATTTAATTTAAAACTTTGGTAATATAAAGAAAGTGGATTTTAATCTGAAATATCAGTTGCAAAGCTACGACATACAATTTCGTTTACGATTTGTACTGAGATATCAGAATATTAGTTGTTTTTGGTATTTGTTGTAACAGCACGAAAATTCGCTATCTACTTTTATTTTAAGCATCTCCTAACGCGCCCACGGAAATCTAGATTAAAAATATCTCGAAGAATATACTGACACATTTATCTTAATATTATCAGGGAACGGATTTTTAGGACCTAAAAATCTGTAAAAATGGCAAAATAAAATAATATGCTAGAAAAGGCAAAATAAAATAACGAAATAGGCAGAAAATCGCAAAAAAGCAAAAGGCACTAAAAACTCAAGAAATACATTTGTTATAGAAACGTTTATTTTATAGTTGTAGTAACATTGAGCCACAAGATGCATTTTGAAGTTTTCTGGCAGCTTTTTCATTCGATTTTCGCGAAGAAAAGCCTTGAAAATCTCTTAAAACCCTTAAAAAGGCAAAAAAAAGGCAACATCAAATGTATATACATATATGGAATCAGGGAAAGCTAACTGGTGCACATTTTTAATCGAATATACTTGGCTTTCTTCATAAAAAATAAAGTAGCTTTAAAAAAGGTTTATAAACTGGAAAATGAATGAAAACGTTATTTTATAAAACTCTTTACACCCACTTTATTTTTTATGAATAAGTCCATCTCTTTAGCAGAAAAAAAGGCAATTTTTATAAAATCCGTTCCCTGGTTATTATGATTTTGTATTAAATACCCGATGGGCCTTAGTATAACTGGTCTCCACTGGAGAAAGTAATATTAATGTATACATATTATCCAATGAAGTAAATGCTTACTTGCGTTGCATTCTGATCTTTCAAACATGTTATTGAACTTGAGGGACTAATTTCTGATTCTGCTGGCTTACTGCTAACGTGCTTGTAATTGAATTTGCATCTTATCATTTCTATTTAACCTATTTCTCATGCGACCATCTTTAAATTATACGAATTTCAGCCGACGATACTGCTTGCACCACGCAACGCCAAGTAACCAGCAACAATATCGGATGGCAGAGTCTTAACAATAGCATATTCTTCGGAGTTTGCGTACCGCAGCTTGCTGTGCGGGTCAGTGTACGGTGCAATCAGACCCGAAATGTCCGAGTACTTTTTAGGTGGTCGCAATGAAGGCGGAGCGTTAAACGAAGAGTCTGGGCGAGAGCAAAAGGTTTGGTATTTATAAATTTTTAATCAGAAGTTAAAGATGATAGCAAACACTCGTACTCACAAGACATAGCACCTTCTGGCCACTGTTGTGTTTTCTCCACCGCCAGTATTTGTTTTAAAGACTTGAATACGTGTTTCTTGCCACCGGGCTCAATATAGCTGAATTGTGGGTTTTTGAAACGAATGATCGGCGGCTCTTCAGACATTACGAAATATAAAAAACTTAATTTTGGTAAATAGATCCAAGACACGTTTGTTTTGTAGATGCAATGAAAAAACAGTAAACAAGTTAGGGATGTCGGAAAAACCTCGATGTATCGAAAATAACGATGTTTTTCTTCGATGCATCGAAATTTTTCCACTCGCTGTATAAATAGTCGATGTATCGAGGCGTTGATGTTTTTTTCAGAACTGACAATTGTAGCTTCATTCCAGTATTTTAATTGTAAATAAAAAGAGAAGTGACTTTGACCAAAGTATTGAAATTACTCCACAAAGTTCCGTTCCCCTCAGTTGCAGTAATTTATTTCTATCTTTGTTCAATTTCACTAGCAAGTCGATGCATCGAAAAATATCGATGTACATTTCGATGCATCGAATAAAAGAAAAACATCGATGTAATTTGCCACTGAAATCCCTAAAACAAGTGCAAGTGCTGGCAGTGTAGGGTTGTAATAAAATGTTTATAGTGGTGGGGAAATATGATGTTGCATAGTAGCACGATTGAGAGAATACAAAGGTTGCGCCGATCTCGGACCGCTATTCCTCTCTTAACGAATTTGACAGAATCGTGGTTTGCATGACGTCACACTTGTGCAACTTGTTTACGTTTTCCTTGCAACATTTTTTCTTCTTCTTCCATTCTTGCTCACGTTTTGGCATTTCTCTCTCGCAATTTCACCAGTGAGACGTCACACAAAAGTTATTCTCAAAAATCCTCTCTGATCGGCGCAATCTTGTATTCTATCATTCTTGGCATAGTAGTAACTTAAAATAAGCCAGCTTTGTATTGGTTTTTTTTTTTAATTTCGGCAGAATTGTGATTAGTGCAGTTTTTGGG